TGTTATTTCTAGAGTCATTCCTCTGTGATGTAAGAAGTTACTTGGTATATTTTCAATATACTTAAATTCCTCAAGTGTGTGACCTAACATGTGATCTACCCTGGAGATGTTCCAAGTGCACTTTAGAAAAATGAGTATTCTGCCACTTTTGGGTAGAAAATTCTGTATATGTCTGTTAGGTACATTTACTCTATAGTATTGTTCAAGTTGATTGTTTCCTTATTGATTTTCCACCTGGATGTTCTATCCATTGTTGAAAGAATGCACTGAAATCTCCTAATATTATTGTACTGCTATCTTCAGATCTGTCAACATTTGTTTAATATATTTAGGCGCTTTGATATTGGCTGCAAATATATTTTAAATTGTTATGTCTTCCTGTTGAACTGATGTTTTATCATTATTTAATGACCTTTCTCTCTGGGAAAATTTTTTGATTCAAAGTCCATTTTATCTGATATAATACAATATCTTTTTTCCATCCCTTCTCATTCAGCCTATGTGTCCTTTAGATTGAAAATGAATCTTTTGTAGATAGCATATGGCTGGCTCTTGTTTTTAATTCTCAGTCACTTTCTGCCTTTCAATTGGTGAGTTTAATCCATTTACATTTAAAGTAATTACTGACAGGTAAACTTACTATTGCCATTTTGTTAATTATTTTCTGTTTTGCAGTTTGCTTGTTCCTCTCTTCCTCTATTTCTGTCTTATTCTGTTATTTGATTTTTTTTTGTAATGGTTTGATTTTAATTCTTTCTTTTTATCTTTTGTGTACCTACAATAAGTTGTGCCTTTGTGTTTATAAACATCTATTTTAATAACAACTTAAATTCAAATACATACAAAAACTCTACACTTTTACCTGACAACACATTTTGTGATCTTGGTCAGAGTTTACTACTTTTCATATGATGAGTCCATTACCAAATTTTTGTCATTATACTTTTCCTTGGTACTTTTGTCCTTTAATTTTTATATTGGGGTAAATGGTTGGTTGTGCACCACCATTAGAGGGTTACATTGATGGAGTTTGGATGTGTTGTCCCCTCCAATACTCATGTGGAAATTTGATCCCCAATGTGGCAGTGTTGGAAACTGATTGAGTCATGGGGGCAAATCCCTTATGAATGAATTAATGCTCTCCCTGGGGGCGGGGGTATTAATGAGTGAGTATTTGCTCTATTAGTTTCCACAAGAGTTCATTGTTTAAAGGACCCTGGCACCTCCTCTCTTGCTTCTCTCTCTTGCTTCCTCTCGCCACATGATCTGCTTGTACCTGCTGGCTGCCTGCCACTTTTCTGCCATTAGTAGAAACAGCCTGAGGCCCGTGCCATATGCAACTGTCCCAGAATCGTAAGCCAAATAAACCTCTCTTCTTTATAAATCACCCAGTCTCAGGTATTTGTTATAGCAACGCAAAATGGACTAAAACAAAATTGGTACCAAGGAGTGGGGTGTTGCTATACAGATACTTGAAAATGTGGATGCAGCTTTGGAACTGGGTAATGGGCAAAGGTTGAAGGAGTCTAGAAGAATCAGAAGAGAAAAAGATGAGGGAAAGTTTGGAAGATTTTAGAGACTGGTTACGCAGCTGTGACCAGAATGTTGATAGAAACGTGGACAGTAAAGACCATGTAGATGATGATGTCTCAGACAGAAATGAGGAACTTATCAGGAATTGGGGCAAAGATCACCCTTGCTATGCCATAGCAAGGAATTTGGCTGCATTGTGTCCATGCCCTTGGACTTTGTGGAAGGTGGGACTTAAGAGTTGTGAACCAATGTATCTGGTAAAAGAAATTTCCAAGCAGCAAAGCATTAAAGATGCTGCATGTTTATTTCTAACAGCCTATGCTGAGTTATGGCAGAAAAGGCATGATGTAAAGCCAGAATTTTAAAAGGGAGCAGAGTATAAAGATTTGGAAAATTTGCAGCATGGCCAAGTAATAGAAAAGCAGAGAGCATGCAACGGTGCAGCCCAGCAACCATTAGCTCAGAAGATTAGTACAAAGGAAAGGGATTATCAAGAGAAGGAGAAAAGGGCCCTGAAGGCATTGCAGAAGCCTCTGGGGCCAACCCTTCCATTTCAGGCCCAAATGCCTAGGGAGACAGAATGGTCTTGGGGAAAAGGCCTGAGGCACCCTCCATGGGCTCGCTGCCCAGGGCCACCTTGAGAAGCTGCTTCCAGCACCAACAGCTGCTTTGGCTGCTTCAGCTGTGGCTAAATTGGCCCCAGGTGTGGCTGGACCCACAGCTTTGGAAAATACAAGCCAGAAGTCTCGGCAGCATCCACGTGGTGTTAGGTCTGCAGGCTTACAGAATGCCAGAGCTGGGAAGGCTTGGGAACCTCCACCCAGATATCAAAGTATGTACAGAAAATTCTGGGGGCCCAGGAAGAGATCTGTCACAGGGGTGGAGTTACCACAGAAGGGGTGGAATGACGAAGTTTGGATGTGTTGTCCCCTCCAAAACTCATGTGGAAATTTGATCCCCAATGTGGCAGTGTTGGAAACTGATTGAGTCATGGGGGCGGATCCCTTATGAATGGATTAATGCTCTCCCTGGGGGAGGGGGGAGTAATGAGTGTGAATTCTCACTCTACTAGTTCCCACAAGAGCTGATTGTTTAAAGGACCCTGGCATTGCTTCCTCTTGCCATGTGATCTGCTTGTACTCACCAGCTACCTGCCACTTTCTGCCATGAGTAGAAGCAGCCTGAGGCCTGTGCCACATGCAGCTGTCCCAGAATCGTAAGCCAAATAAACCACTTTCCTTTATAAATTACCCCGTCTCAGGTATTTCTGTTATAGCAACACGAAATGGACTGATATATACGGTATTCTGCATTTGACTATATATTTACCCCTACTGGTGAGATTTATACTTTCATATGTTTTCATATTGCTCTTTATCATGTTTTCAATTCTATTATAAGAACTCCATGAAGTGTTTCTTCTAAGCCATGCCTAGTGGCAAAAACTCCCTCAGTTCTGTGTGTCTGGGAAAGACTCTCCCCTATGTTTTTAGGGATAGCTTTGTAGTGTATAGTATTCATGGTTGGCAATTTTTTTCTTTCAGTACTTTGAATATATCTTGCCATTGTCTCCTTTCCTGTAGGGTTTCTGCTGAGAAATTCAGTAATAATTTTTTCTGGTGGTGGGGGAGGGGAGTCCCTTGTACGTAATGAGTCACTTTTCTCCTGCTGCTGTCAGAATTCTCTCTTTGTCTTTGAGGGTTTTTTTAAATTTATCAATATACAGTTAGTTGATTTTTGTGTTCCTTTACCAATTCCTCCTTTTCTCCCCTCTCTGTCCTTCACATCAACATTATATCTATTCACTTATCTTAACAAGTTCAAGGAATTATTGTGATTGTTGTGTCTTCTTCCCTCCCACCCCCTGTCTATTTGTTTTGATAGTTTAATTATATTGAGTCTTGGGTAGACTTCTTTATCTTCAACCTGTTTGGGGTTCTATGGGCTTGAGTCTGGATATGTATGTCCCTCCACAGATTTGGGAAGTTTTTTGGCTATTATTTCTTTATAAAAGCTCTCCAAACCTTACTCTCTTCTTCTGATTCTTATCATATGTATAATGGTTCAATGACAATGTCCCATAAATTCCATAGGCTTTCTTTATACTTTTTCATTCCATTTTCTTTTTTCTCCTTTTACTGGATAATTTAAATGGCCTTTCTTCGAGTTCTTTAATTCTTTCCTCTGCTTGACTAAGTTTGCTGCTAGAGCTCTCTGGTTGAATTTTTTGGTTCAGTCACTGTATTCATCAACTCCAGAATTTGTCTGCTTCTTTTTTATGGCTTCTATTTCTTTCTTGAACTTCTCATTTTGTTCATGTGTTGTTTTCCTAATTTTGTTCAATTATTTATCTGTGTTCTCTTGTAGCTCCCTGACCTTCTGTAGAACAATTATTTTTAATTCGTCATCAAACAGTTTGTGGATCTCTATTTGTATTTAGGTTGGTTATTGGAAATTATTATGTTCCCATGCTGGTGTCATGTTTTTTCAATTTTTCCTGTTCCCTGTATCCTTGCATTGCTATCTGTGTATTTAAAGAAGCAGTCACCTTATCCAGACTTTACATATGCATAAGGAAAGACCATCACATGGGAGAGGGGATTATGAGGACCTAAGTAGAGTGGGGGCACAAGGGAGCATATTGTTGTTGCACCAGGCTTAGTGGAATGTGGGACACCAAATGTAGGCTGTGCAATAGCTCTGGGTCCCATGATGCACAGGGGCATGGCAGCTCACAGAGCTGAGGTTGGCAACATCAGTAAATATGGGATCTTTGGCTGCAAAAGCTAAAGGGTACCTGCCATGCCTTCAAGGGCTGTTGGGATTACTAGTGGCACCTTGTGTTGAGCAGCAAGCACACCTGGGTAGATAGGGGCCAGGGCCAGTGGCATACACAGCTCTGGAGTTTGGCTGCAGAAATGCATGTGGCAATGGGAGCCAGAGCCAGCTGTGGGCATGCATGTGCATGGCTACTGGGCCATGCACATACACTGACAACTAACAGAGGGCCAGGGCAGTAGCTTGTATTCCTGAGGCTGAAAGGATTGGCTGCAGCCACAGGCATAGTTGTAAAAATCAGAGCCAGTGGCAGGGGCCAAGACCAACCCAAAATAGGCACACACCAGAAACCCAATAATCGTAGCTCAAAACTGTCCTACCAGGTCATTCTACACTTCAGACAAGCCTCCCGAAGAAAACCTGCCAATGATAAGGGCAAACGACAAAATGCAGATTCAATAATCCATGTCAACCCTGCAAAATATCAATTTACTAGATAATTTATGAATAACAAATTGGTTTTTTTAAATTAAACCTCCTAGTTTTCAATAGGCAGACTCGCCTTTATTTGCTAGCAAATTTAATTATTTTTATGGTTCCTTTAGTTTCTCTCAAACCAAAAGGAAAAGTCTAGTTTAAAAAAGTCCATCAATTGAAGACTATCATAATTTCCTAAAAAATAAACTTACCCTTTCTAACAATTTCTGGAGCTTTAATGTTTTCTCTTCACGTAACTTTTCCCTCAGTTGCTGTGCTTTCATTTGCTTTTCTTCATGTTTCTTCTTAGATTCTGCAATTGTTCTATTAACAGAAAGAAATGGATAAGAGACACAAATGTTTACACAATAAGGCCAATAATAGTGTTCTTTAGATTTCAAAGTTCTTAAAGTATACAGAACTAATTTTGGCCAACCATTTCAGGAAAGCATTGTCATTTTTCAATGGACATGTCACTGTCCTGAATAATGTACCCACAAAGGTCATGTAGCAACTCTACTTAATAGTCAAGAGTGGCTGGTTTTCCTCCTATGAAAAATTTCAAATTAATCTTCAAAGGCCAGACCTTTTACGAGATGGTGAAGAAAGTTTTTCATGCATGTGAATTCCATGCCCTGGAGGTCTAGCAGGTTCCTCTTCTACAATATCCCCCCAGGATGTATTTTGGCGCCAAGATTCACGAGCTGTTCAGAAAAAAGAAACCACTGTTTATTGTTTAACCACATATTTCTATAAAACCACTATTTGATAACAGACTTTTAAAAGGGAATAGCATTCCCACTCTAATTTACTTATTTTAAACAGAAACTACATGTAATAAGATAATCTATTTTATCCCACTGTCCCTGCATGTCACACACACACACACACACACACACACACACACACACACACACACACACACAAATACCTTCATAATCTGCAAGGACATCGTTCCAATCCAATGACATACCACAGAAAGATACACTCCCACTGCCCATGCTAGCCTAAAATGTAACAAGAGAAACAGAAAAACAAATTTTTGAATAGAATTATAACCTTAAGAAATGAACAATACATGAAATTTTCCTACTTGTTAATATATTGCAATTAACCAACAGCTCAAAACCAGAAAAAAAAACACATACCTTGTGTAATAACAATAATTATCAAGTTAAAATACCACAGCCTATACAAATTAAGAGCCCAATAGCCAATAACAGCAGAGACAAATAAAGTAAATTTAAAAAGAAACACACTGGCCTTATATTATTACTATATAAACACTGACATATAGAAAGCACATATTTGAAGAGCCCAAGATTATTTAGTGGGCATTAAAATTTAATAAAATGTGAAACATTCATGGTTAAGTTATTCTTTAACAAATCCTCTTTGCCAACATATATATCCTGAGTACTTAGTGACATCAAGGCAATGTGTCAATTGCTTCTTATTAGTAGGATACAAAAAAGTAAAATATCTTAGATTCTCATTCAATCTCTACAAATTGCACTAAAAGTAATGTTGAGTTTTTACTTTCTGTGAGACTCAATTTCTTGATTTGTAAAATGAGAATAACCATTCCCAACTTGTCTATTGCATCATGTATGAAAATACTTAGTAATGGTAAAGTGCTAAAAACAATTTGCTACTGTTTATTGTATAAGTCTAAATCACCCTGAGAATAATAATAATTATTGTTGGAAATGACTTTTAAATAAATTATTTCAAATAGGACTATATGAACTCCAAGTCTTTCTGGGCCTAAGAATTTTATTTCTATATAATTTTTGAACAATTAAGTTAAAAATTCTAAATACTCACAGAAAAATCACTGTCGTCAGTTTCAATGTTAATATCATTGTTTTCTTCAGCTTCAATTTCTCTAGTTAACTGTTCTTCTTCAGCAATAGCACTAGCAATGGCTTCTTCATTGGCCTTTTCTAGACGATCTGCTAGCTCTTCTTTTTTAGCAAGCACTTCTGCCATGGACTATAAAAAGTTAAAACGAATAAACAAAAAGAATCATCATCACAGGACTGGAAAATCAAGTAATCATTTCCTTCTTTATGCCTGCTCTAATCATGAACTCAACAGTATACATAAAATAGCATTGATTTAGAATCATGAAACCTGGGGTCCAATATATGTTCAAACATTTTTCTAGCTGTGTGACTTAGAAGTTTTTTAAAACCAAGAGCCTATTTCATATTCCATAAAATAACGGATGGATAATCCACGACTTACCTTCTTTACCAGACTACTGTGTATGAGAAACTGTGAGGTTATATAAATAACATGTATTATTATGACAAGGCGTGAATTTCATCTGAGTTCCAAAATTCAAAAGTTACTTATCAAATACATTTACTAAATATAAAACAAAAATAGTATACTATAATGGGAACATGGAAAAATATATGTTATAATGATGACATTTTCTGAATATATATACTTAATTTTAAAATAAGCATTAGAAGTAATACAAATAATATGCATAAGAATCATTAATTCATAATGAGGTCCCATGAGAAGCTAAAGATATATACTACAAACCCTAAAGCAAACACTGAAATAAAAAAACAAAGAGTTAAAGTTAATAAGCTAACAAAGGAGGGCCGAGCCCCTGACGCACTCGGAAGAGTGTGGCGCTGGGAGCGCAGCAGTACAGCGGCGCTCCCACCGTGGCTTCGGATCCTATGTAGGGATGACCGGTGCTCTCACAGTGCTCACTGGCTGAGCGCGGTGCAGCCGGTCTCAAAAAGGACAAAAAAAAAAAAAAATAGAGAGAACAAAGAACACACGGATCAAACAGAAAACAAACAGTAAGATGGTAGATTTAAACAAACCATCTCGATAATCACAATACATATAGTCTAAACACCACAATTAGATTACAAGTAAAAAAAAATCTACACTAATCAAAAGACGGCTGAAGTATAAATATCACACACAGCACATTTCAGAGGAAAAAGTATCACCGGGGATTTTTAAAAAAAGGTCATTTCATAATAATAAAAGAGTCAATTCATCAAGAAGACAAAACAATCCTAAATGTTTATGGACTTAACAGAGCTTTGAAATACATGAAGCAAAAACTGATAGAACTGCAAAAGAAATAAACCTAATGAGAATGTAAAATGGTGCAAACACTTTGGAAAACAGTCTGACAGTTCTTCAAAAGGTTAAACCCAGTTCATATGATCCAGCAATTCCACTCCTAGATATATATCCAGGAGAAAAAAAACACATATGTCCACACAAAAACTTGTATGCAAATATTTAAAGCAGCACTATGTATAATAGCCAAACTATAGAAACAATCTAAATGTACATCAGTTGGTGAATAAAATGTGATATACCCATACAGTGGAATACTATTTGGTCATAAAAAGGAATGAAGTACTGAGAGGCTAAAACATGTATGAACCTTTAAAACATTATGCTAAATGGAAGAAGCCAGTGCAAAAGACCACAAATTGTATACCATTTCTATAAAATGTCAAAAAAAGGCAAAACTATAGAGACAGAAAACAGTTAGGGCTAGAAGGGCAGTGATGGGGTGAAAGGGAGTAACTGCAAATGCAAACTGTGTTTCTTTTTGGAATGATGAAAGTGTTCCAAAACCGGCTATGGTGATAGTTGCACAGTTCTGTAATTACACTAAAAAACATTTCATTGTAGGGCCCGCCCGGTGGCGCATTGGAGAGTGCGCCGCTTGGGAGCGTGGCGGCGCTCCTGCCGAGGGTTCGGATCCCAAGTGGAGACCGGTTCCCGCTCACTGGCTGAGCGCAGTGCAGACGCGACACCGAGGGTTGCGATCCCGTTGCCGGTCCCCGGTATGGGCGCGACACCGAGGGTTGCAATCCCGTTACCGGTCAGTAAAAAAGACAAAAAGGAATAAAAAAAAAAACATTTCATTGTAAATATTAAGTGAATGAATAGTATGTTATACAAATTATATCTTAAGAAAGTTGTTTTTTAAAAAAGAAATAGATCCAGGCCAGCCCCGTGGCTCACTCGGGAGAGTGCAGCGTTGGTAGCGCCGAGGCCGCGGGTTCGGATCCTTTATAAGGATGGCCGGTGCGCTCATGTGAGCATGGTGCAGATGACACCGTGCCAAGGGTTGCGATCCCCTTACCAGTCAAAAAAAAAAAAAAGAAAAAAAGAAATAGATCCATAGTTACATTCAGAGTTTTCAATACCCCTCTTTCAATTGACAGAACAAGTAGATAGAAAATGAGTAAAGATAAAGGAGACCTGAACAATAGTATAAAAATTTTTTTTGATGTAGGTATTTTTCCAAGAGAAATGAAAACACATGTTCACACAAAGATATGTACACAAATGTTCATGGCACTTTTATTCATAACAAAAAAACTAGAAGTAACTCAAATGTCTGTAAGCAAGTGAATGAATAAATACATTGTATATGCACAAAACAAAATACTACCAAAGACAGTGAAAAGAATGAACAATCAATACACACAACTACATGGATAAATCTCAAAATAATTATGTTGAGTGAAAGAAGCCAAGCAAAGATTATATAATTCCATTTATATAAAATTCTGAAAATGTAAACTAAAACATAGCAAAAGAAAGAAGAATAGTGTTTACCTGAAAAGGGGCTACAGAGAAGGCAAGAAGGGAGGGATCATAAAGGGGAAAGTGGAAACTTTTAGGGGCAATCAATATGTTCATTATCTTGATTGTAATAATGATTTCATAGCTGTAAACAGATGTCACAATTTATCAACTTGTACATTTTAAATACGCTTAATGGAAATAAATTATATCTCAATAAATGTACTAAAAATACAAATGCTTCAGTACCAGCTTATTATATATGTGCTCTAGAGTAGAGTCTGGGCATTAATTTTTTTAAAGCTTCCCTTCCCTCTTCTCTATCACACCCCCCAAAACACACAAAGATTGTCCCTTGGGGAATAGAATAGGGTGGGGAAGTTTCAAAAAGAGACTATTTCTGTGCATCATAAGCTCTTCTCTATAAACCCTAAAAACGTTATAGAAAATGACTGCTGTTAATGTGCCACACAAAAATTATAACTTCTAACAATAACTAAAATCCAAATATTAAAGTTAAATATATTTAAGTTTGCAGAAAGTAAGCTCTCACATGAGCCTTCTCTATGTCCTCCCTATAATTTTATCTTCCCTAGAATGTAAAATGTCTATTTAGTTACTATCTGAAGACCTGAAAAGATTCTAACCTAGTACAGGTAGAGCATCCCTAATAGGAAAATCCAAAATCTGAAATGCTATAAACTCCAAATGATAATGCTTAAGGGAACATTTCAGATTTCGAGTTTTCAGATTAGGGCTGCCCAGCCAGTTAAGTTACTGCAAATATTCCAAAATCAGAAATACTTCTGGTCTCAAGCATTTTGGATAAGGAATACTCAACCTGTAGTATAGCTTATGGATAAAATATGATTCAATCATCCATATACAACTTTATTTTCACACAGTGAACTTCAAATAAATATACGCATGTCGTTATTTTGAAAATTTCCAAATTTTCACTAAAACTTGAAAATGTTAGCAAATCTAAAAAATTAGATCAATGGAAGCTAGGTAATATAATGGCATATTATTATAATGATGGCAAAAGTTGACCTTAAATAGAAAGGTTTTCACAGTCATTTTTTGCTAATGTTTCTACAAGTGAACAGCAATTTTTTTTTTTTACTTTAACCAGCTATATAACAATATCGTACTGAGAAAGAAAAGAAAAAATAGCTCATTCATAACTGCAGGAATTCTATATAACCCCCTACTTGGAAACTAAACAATAAGGTGCTTATCTAGAGTATCTCTAGCAAAACAAATGAAAAAAAAATTTTTTTTAAATCTTGGTTTAGTTAAAACTCTTTTAATAATACACTTAATATTCATATTTAAAACTTAACTTGTTTTCTTTCAAATATGCAAATTTGACCCTCAAAATAACAAAGGGTTTTCATGATTTTACAACAAGCTTATATTTGTGATCAAAATAAAAGAGGATGAGGGAAGTAATTATTTCCTGCTTATTCAAGTATGGGATCATTTTCCTCTTCTGAAATTTGATTCTCACAGAACCAAATTGTAAAATAAATAACTTGTTATAATATATAGTATGAAAACAAAAAATATATATGACCAATTTCTACCCCATACATTAAATGCATTTCTTATTTGACCATAATTATGTTCAACCTTTAAAAAGTCCATCACTAAAAGACAGAAGATAAAAAACAAATTGCTTTACCTTATTAAAGGAATCTAAACATTTGTTTTTCTTATTACTATATCCCTGATATTCTTTTATTCCCTTAAACTATCCATGTCAAGTTTCATCTATATCTACTGCTACTATCTCTGTAAGATGTATAATTTTGCCCAATACTATCTACTGATAGCATCTTTCAGCATGATAAGGCATTAAGTTTTGGAAGAAATTACTATAGTATATAGTATATAGTATAGTAATAATGGCCCTTTAAAAAGTAAAATTTGAATAACTTTTCTCAACTTTTTATATACGCTTATTTCTTTGGAAAGTTACTTCTTTAAACAAAGCTAGCATGACCTATTCTACATTATCCCTAGGTTAAGTATCTTAATACTGTAGCAATAGAAAGAGATGGACAGAAATACATAGTCATCCAAAACATTAACCTATAAATAACTGAAAATCAATGCATTTTTAGAGATTCTGGAATAGGATGGTAAATAAATTTTATCTTAAAGACCAACTCCAATCAAATGATAGTAGCTGTTTAAATTACTCCGTTGAGGGAGTTTTTAAAAGTAAGTCCAGAAGGCACCATTTCTGCATGGAAGACTTTACTGTTACTGGTTTAGTTTCTTAATCCTAGACCAAAGAGTATTGGATCAAATCACATACAAACTGCAGGATTTGAACAAATTATTTAACTCTCACAGTCTCACTTTATTCCTCTACAAAACAAAAAGAATATTAATTATCAGAAGATTACTACAAAAATAAAATATTAAAATAAAATAACATGTATAATGTTTTGTGAAGTATAAAGTAATAAATAATACAAGTTATTATTATTGGGGTTCATGCCTCATATATATTTACTCAGAGTTCTGATAAGTTGTTCTTACCAAGTTAGCAGCACTCACATTTGAAATATCTGAAGGATCCATTTCACTCTCTATCCTTGCTTTCTCTGCCAGAAATTTGTCATCATTTGTTTGCAAAGGAGGTGTGTCAGCTTGCTGAGTTGTTGAAACACACTCTGTATCAATGTGAACAGCTGGTATTTCAGAAGTTCGCACAGAATTTTCTTGACTACTACCAGAATTCTTGACATCATCCAGTGTACTCACTGTGAACTAATAAAATATATTTATAGAATACATCAGAGATAATAAAAAATACTTATCCACTATTCCACTCTAAAAGAGCTAACTCTGCTTATCCTATCAACAGTGAAGCAGTACTTGACTAGCTGACAGACAACTCACTCATCTTTTTTGTGTATTTCAAGTGTAACCAAAGGAAAGAAACTACTAAGCAGCATAAATTTTACTTGCATGCCTACTAGGTATCGGGCACTATCTGAAGCACTCTAAGAAATTAAGCAATATATACTGTAATTATATTTTCTTTTAGTAGGCCAACTTGTAAAAAGTATGTCATATCTCTCACAAAGGAAATCTGTTCACAAATATAACACTTTGTCTTATACAACTAAAGGTATTTATGTTGTCTTTTGTGAAGACTGTCTAATAACAAATGAGGATACTCAGCATTTTCTAAAAACATCCTGAAAACATTTTTTATCAAAATATATTTTGAGGGCATTTTACTCAAAAATATAAAACTTGCTCTCTTCAAATAATACTAACATGACCTCAAAGTATCTTTAATAAAGACCTATATGGCACATGATGCCAATTCTCAGATCTAAAAGAGAAAAGGTTGACCTAGGTGTGCAGATATAAAGCAAGCAGTGTCTCATTATGCGATTCATATACTTTAGACACCCTCCCCATTCCAGGAGGAATATTTGACACAAAACCAACAGAAATGTGAAAACAATCTAAAAAACAGTATCTTTGGCTTAGGCCAAACACATATTCATTCTTTAAAAATGTTCTAGTTTAGTAAATAGAACCAAGCCTTTATCTTCATCTTTTAACAGAGTAGAGAAAGAATGGTGCTATGTTTTCTAGTTACAATCCAAGTTGGAGAGCTAAAATCTAAAATTGTGAATTTAAAACTCACCCACATCACTTCTTAAATAAACATGAGATAAACATTGCAGTGGCCATAAAACCTCCAGTTTGATTAATTATTTACACAAACATTAAACTTGGCCAAGTCTTATAAACTACTTTAAAAGTTCTACTATTGGTCAGAATTTAAAGTGTCCCAAAGTGGTGATTTTAGCATAAGCATTATTTAAATTGTATCACTTTGTTTATATTGCTATCAACATTATTTATATGTCAGTCACCATGGTTTATAATCTTCTTGGCAATATTTATATTAGCATTACTGATGTTTACAATATAGTCAACCCTGTTTATTAAAAACTCAATATCATTTATATAACAAAATCAAAGCTAAATTATAAAGTAATGTTGAGAAAAGATATAAATATGCTACTTCTATTTTTAGAGTAACAGTGGAGAAAACAAATATTATTACCAATTTGGCTTCAATCAGCAGTGAATTTTTATACTGAAACATTTTAGCAATAGTTTAATTATTCAAAAGTTCTATGTAGGGATTATTCCTGAAATCCCAATATCATAAATTTATACACTACACAAAACAAGCATAATTTTTATATTGTTATATTTTTTAGCAAAAACACACATTATCAAAAATGCTAGATATTTAAGTGATATGAAAAGTAATTTCTTCACTAAGTATCTTAAATGTAGCTTTCCTATATTAAAGAGTTTCTTAGTTACTTCCAACAAATATATACTGATTACTTCCTATGTGTCTAGGACTCTGTTCCATATTGAGGGAAATTAAAGCGCAACATAAGATACTTCCCTCAAGGAGCTTGCAATCTCACTTGGGCATATAACGTACACACATTAAAGAGTTATAAAACATCAAAAACAATGTAAGATTAAGAGCCATTATCATCATTAAGAGAAGACAAGGAAGTTGAAGAACATTTCCAGTGGGGAAATAAAGGAGAGAGTTTTAAAAAACAGATATTATCCTAGACTGAAAATATTACAACTATTTTGTAATTGATTTACTTAGCCCCTGTACTATATCAAAGAATATCTCCCATATTTCATCAACCATTTTACATAAAATTATACCAATTAAACACGAACGTTTATATAAACAAATATGTAAACGAATATATTGGTTCATGAAATAAGTAAAATAAACTTCAACTAGACTAACAGAAGAAATATTGGGAATATTAACTCTAAAAAATTATTTTAGATATTAGCAAATTATTCTACACTTGATTTGCAGGAAGTAAAAGTAGAAAAAGTTCAAAATTTCATCTCCATTTTCAGTAACATCCAAATAAAGCAAGAGAACACAACCTTAATAAAGCATTCAAAGTTAAAAACAAACCTGGACAACTTGATATTATCTCCCTCTAGATATGACACTAAGGACAATTACTTTAGCCTGTCAAAAATGTATAAGCTATATTGAATTATGAACAAACAATGAACAAAGGACAGTGCGCGCGCGCACACACACATACAAAAGCACTGCAATGTATTCTTCAAAATTATTATTATTATTATTTTTTGACTGGTAAGGGGATCGCAACCCTCAGCACAGTGTGGTCCGCACCACACTCAGCCAGTGAGCACACCGGCCATCCCTACATAGGATCCGAACCTGTGGCCTCGGAGCTACCAGCACCGCACTCACCCGAGTGAGCCACGAGTCCTAGAGCAGGGAAAATCTATAAAGAAATTATTGACATAACTACAAAATTTTAAATATAGACTATAAACTAGATAATATTTTATGTGCTAAATTCCATGAATTTTATCATTATAATGTGGTTATATAAAAGAGTTTCTTTGTTTTTTGGAGATACATGCTGTAGTAGTAGTTAAAGGTGAATGGTTACAATGTTTGCACATTACTCTCAAATGATTAGCATGTGTGTGTGTGACATATGAGTCAAAAAAAAAATATATGGCAAATATTAATCTGTAAATCTAAGCAAACAGGATGGGGATGTGTGTTTCACTGTTATATTCTTGCAAATTTTCTGTAGATCTAAAATGTTTCACAGTTAAAAATTAAAAATGAAGCAGAAAAATAACACATTCCAGAACACACACACCCCTTTCAAAAAGGCAATAATAGGATTTTCAGAATGTATTACCTGGGTTCTTTCAGCAAGTGGATGGTCGCAAGAGTGTAATGAGTCTTTAGGATGAGATTCTATAGTATTCGAAATTCCATCTTCAACAAATTCACCTTTCTGCATGTTTTCATCAGGTAAAAGACATACATTTTCTTTATCGCTGTCATCCTTTGACCTCAAGGCTTCTGTTGCTAAGGAAACTTTCGGCATCACTGCTGTTGATCGAGAACGAACAGGCCTTCCTCTATGAACAGTCTCCCATCCCTCAGCATCTTTTTGCTCTATGCAATTAAAGGAAGAAAATAAATCAAGATTTCTTTAGATGATAAAAAATTTGAAACCTTATAAAATAAAAACATTTTCTAATTTAATTCCCATTAAATATACCAACATGACATTAACTATTGTACAAGATGTATTTTTACATATTTTAAAAAATATGTGCGTGTGCGAATAACTATCCCTATTTTACAAATGGAAAAACTGAGATTCAGATTAAGAATGGCTTAAGGTCATACAGTTGGTAAGTAATAAACAGTTAAATAGTGCATACCATGTGTGAGCACTGTTCTAAGTACTTTATAAATGATAAATCTTTTCATCTTCACAATAACCTTATAAGATCAGTACTATCACCCCCATTTTATTATTGAGAAAAATGAGACAAAGAGAAATAATTTGCCCAAGGTCACAAACCTAGTAAAGGTAAAGTCCAGATGCAAGTCTAGGCACATTGGTTATGGTGTCCATGGCTATGTAAAAACTACCTCTCCATGTTTCAGAATCCAAACATAAGCCTAGCTCCAAAGTCCAAGTTCTTTCTTCTATCCCGGCATTAGTATCATACCTTAACTTAAATAAGCTATTTCCATTATCATAAAATTATAGAATACTAAGTTGAAGGAAACCTAGAGGATCTAGTTCAAGATTTCACCACGTATACATGGAAACTGAGGGCTGAGGACCAAGTCACAGAGAAAAATAGTCTAAAATAAATAAGAATTTTCCTCTAAAATCTTTCAAAATGTCACAACATAGATGTATATGTATAGAGATGTATATAGCAATAATTTAAAAGTTTTACTGGCTAACTGTAGTCTGTCAAAACTAATTCAAAGATCTACAATTCTGGCCAAGATAAAGTAACTCCACTTTCATCTCCAGGTCTTGCTCCTTACATTTAAAAACTCTGGGCAACGGTGGCGCACTGCTACAGTGCGCCACTTGTGAAGCGCGGTGGCGCTCCCGCCGAGGGTTCGGATCCCACATACAGACCGGCTGCTCACTGGCTGAGCGAGTTGCAGGAGCAACACTGAGGGTTGCGATCCCGTTGCCAGTCCCTGTCCGGTACGGGCGCGACACTGAGGGTTGCGATCCGTTGCCGGTCACGAAAAAAAAAAAAAAAAAGAAGTTTCTTGAATCATCTTTGATGGCGAAGCAAAAAGTATATCATCATCTGATGTAGTGCTCAATCTACATACAGAAAATACTTGAGATAATTATATTTAAAAAGTGGAGAGTGTAGAGGAAAACAATTAGAAGAAAGTTGCCTACATTTCACTCACAGAGTACATGTCAATACCAGTAGGCTGTGATAACTTATGTATGTATAATGTAATACCTAGAGCAACCAGTAAGAAAATTATACAAATCAACATACTCTAAAACACTATAAATAAATCAAAAGAAATCTTTCGCCTTTTACAAAAGAGAATCACAAAAAAATGTTCAAGTAACCTATAGGAAGGCAAAAAAAAAAAAAAAAGCAGTAGAAAGAGAAATAGAGGAAACATAAAACAAATAATTAAGTGGAGATGCATCAACAATTCCTTTAAGTGTAAATTAGTGTAAATTGTCTAAATATACAAATTACATGATAGAGACAGGCACAGTATATTAAAAAATATAATTGAACTATATGTTACCTAAAAGAAACTCACTTAAATACAAGGACAGAGGTAAGTTGAAAGCAAAAGGATAGAAAGAGATATACTATGTAAACATTAATAAAGCAGGAGTGGTTATAGTAAATATAAGAAAAGTAGACTTCAAAGCACAGAAAATTACTGTAAGCAAAAAAATATACTTATCAATAATGATAAAAATATCATCCCACAATGAATACAAAACAGTCCTAAATATGTACATGACGAACAACAGAGACTCAAGATACATAAAGAAAAAAAACTGATATGGGTGAAAGGAAAATAAGAGGAATCCACAATTATAGATGAGAGTTTCTAACCCCCTCTTCTCAGACACTGATAGAACCACCACACAGAAAATAAGCAAGTATATAAAAGAATTAAACAACACTATCAAACAACAGGAGGTAATCACACACATATAGAACAATCTATCCAGCAACAGTAAAAAGAAATTTTGTCAAATGTCCACAGAACATTCACCATAATAAGCCATATTCTGGGTCATAAGATAAACTTGTGCAAATATAAAATAACTGAGATCATACAAAATATGTTCTCTGACCAGAAGGAATCAAAAGAGAAATCAATAAAATAAAGATAACAGAAAAATTTCCAAACACAAAAATTAAACAACATACTGGATCAAAGAGGACGTCTCAAAAAATTTTAACACATAGAAATGAATGAAAATGAAAACAAAAAATATCAAAATATGTGGAATGCAGTTAAAGCACTACTGAGAGTGAAATCTATACTGCTAAATGTTCACATCGGAAAAGGTCTCAAAGCAATAATCTAAGTTCCCACCTCAAGAAACCAGAAAAAGAAGAGCAAAATAAACTCAAAGCAAGCAAAAGGAAGGAAATAATTAAGACAAGAGCAAACTTAAATGAAATTGAAAATAAAACAATAAAGAAAATCAACGAAATAAAAACCTCGTTCTTCGAAAAACTCAAAACTGATAAACCTCTAGAAAGACTAACAAAGATAAAAAGACAGAAGAGACAAATCACACCAGAAATGAAACAGGAACGTCATCACTACATATCACGCAGCATAAAAAGTATGAGAAAGGACTTCTGGTCAAGATGGTGGAATAGACGGTCCCCAGCATCACTCTCTCCCACAAATCAACTAACTTACAACTATAAAAAATCAACAACAGCCAAGCTGGGGCTGCTATAGCTCAGGAGAAGAGGAGGAGAGACCTACAGAGTGCATGAAGGTGGGAGAAGCCATGAGGAGAGAAAGAAAAAACCACTCTGACCATTTTGAATCCCAGCCACTTCCAGGCTGGAGCTGCTAAGTGCACGGAGCAGGAGCTGGCAAAAGCCACAGCTGTGCCTTTCAGATGAAGTTGCTTGAACGTAGCAGGGGAGAAGAGGACTTTGGTAGCCCCCAGGCCAGCAAGACCACTAATATGGTTCCCATGGTCCCACACAGGACCGAGGAGACACAACAACTGAAAAAACGGAGCCACTCAGAGGCCAGTGAGTCATCGCAAGGGACCAGACCACGGCCTGTCCCATGGGAAGTGTTTAGAGCACAGGCGGTGGGGGAGATGGGCCCACTGGGGGAACACTGAGGCACAGTAAGGACAGCTGACCTGCCCCCCAATCAGCATAGGACCACTCAGAGGAGACTTGTCAGGAATATAGATTTGCATGGGGTACAGTTTCATGAAAAGACTCAGGCCCAGACCAGTGTTTCTACACAACCCAGGTGCAACAGATTTCACTAGACCCAGAAGTACCTATAAAATCAACCATTAAAACCTGAGCTGCACAAAAAGCCTTCCCTAAGGAATCAGCAGCAAAGCAGCAACTTAGCTCAACCACAGAACTCAAGTGCTGGTTCCCACAGAAAGTCCCCCCATTTTAGAAGTAAGCAAAGGACAACAAATTAGTTCCAGTGCAGAGTTTAAGCGGTGGGAACAG